ATTGCTGCAAATATGGTTGTGGAGTCGAAAGAAGAGAAAGGGACAAGGTGAGGGCTGCCATTGAAACAGATGCAACAGAAAAGCAGTTTTATTCGGGAGGTCAACAGGGAAGTCAGCAGAGAGGCTATCGCGGTCGAGGCAGGGGAAGGTTTAACAATTCAAATAGACCACAGTGTTAGTTGTGTGGAAAGTTTGGACACATTGTTCAGCGGTGTTATCGTCGCTTTGATCGAGAATTCACTGGAGTTGGAAATGAAGACCAATCTGCTGAGCAGTGGAAGAAACCAGTTGAACAGATAGTTCCTGTGAATGGACATGCGTATAGTCACACGGTGCAATCTCCTGTCTTCTACCACTATCCATCCAGCTCCATGCATGGTATGCCCTATGTTTTGACTCATCAAGGACTGCCTTACTCCTCGAGTCAGGTAATGAATACCTTCCCTGGGGACTACGAAACTCATCCTGCAAAAACAGAAGGACAAGAGTCATTTGTTCATACTGCACCTACAGCTTTTGTATCCACTGTGCCTAGAATGGCAGCAGCTCACAGTGCTCCAAACCACTCCAATGCTTTGTGGTATCCAGAAACGGGTATCAAACGATCTTACCATTCAATTCAGGTATGACATACAAACGTAACAACACTCTTCTAATGGGTAATGGTGAAGGAATTAAAATTGATCATATTGGTCAAGGCTCTCTGTCTTCTAGCCTCAGACCTCTGGTGTTGCAAAATATGCTACATGTCCCAAACATTAAGAAGAAATTGATGTCATTATCTCAATTCACTCGTGATAACAATGTATTTATTGAGTTTTACCCCTTTGAATGCTTGGTAAAGTATGCACAGACTCTGACCATTCTGCTGAGAGGGAAGCTCACACGTGAAGGTTTATACCAGCTTCTACCGTATGTAGAGAACAAATCATGTTGTATGGTGAATAATGTGTCCAAGGCTTCAAGCAGCTTGGAACTTTGGCATAAGCGTTTAGGACACTCCTGTGTGAAGACTGTCAAAGATGTTATGAAAATGTGTAATGTTTCTTCTAGTGAAAACATGTTGAATAATGTTTGTTCTGTGTGTTTGCAAGGCAAGGCTCACAAGCTGTCTTTTTGTAATTCATTGACTGAATACAAAGAAATTTTTCAGCTGGTTGTGTCAGATGTGTGGGGACCTGCACCTGTAGTTTCGACTGAGGGTTATGCATATTATGTATCGTTTATTGATGTGTTTAGCAGACATACCTGGGTGTATTTAATTAGAAAGAAATCTGAAGTCAGCCAATGCTTTCTCAACCTTGTTAAAATTGCTAAAGTTCAGTTTGGGAAGAAAATCAAAGCACTACAAAGCGATGGTGGAGGTGAATACCAAGCCCTGAAGAGTTGGTTTTTTACCAATGGTGTACAACATCGAATCTCCTGTCCCAGCACGTCAGAACAGAATGGGAAGGCTGAACGAAAACATCATCACATTGTTGAGATGGGACTAGCCATGTTAGCTCAAGCATCACTGCCAATAAAGTTATGGAGTCATGCCTTTACTATGGCAGTGTATATCATAAATATGTTCCCATCTGAGATTATTTTAGGCAAGACCCCATTTGAGGTTCTCTATCAGAAAGCTCCTGACTACTCGGGAATGAGAGTGTTTGGGTGTGCTTGTTTTTCCTTCTTGAGACTGTTTAATCAATATAAATTAGATTTTCGGTTAAGGCAGTGTGTGTTTCTTGGGCCCAGCACCTCACATCATGGATACAAATGTCTAGACAGTGATGGCAGAGTTTTTGTGTCTCGGCATGTGAGGTTTGACGAGCAAGTATTTCCTTTTGATAAGAATCAATGCAAGTGTCATAGACAAGAAATTGTTTCTACTGGATAGTTGCCTATAGTTTATAATAAGCGTGGAGCCATACCGCTTGGCAATCATAATAATGCACATGGGGTTGGGGTCATTTGTAATGACGCACATGGAGCCACCTCGTCTTTTGCACATGGTGATAACCTTGGGACCACACCGCTTGGAGCTATGCAAGACAATGCTCATGACCGTGGGACCACGCCGCTTGGAGGTATGCCAGACATTGTGCATGAACATGGGGTCACACCATTTGAATTAACAACCGTTCACAACAATACGCATGGTGGTGTGCAAAGTGCTCTTGAACATGGCATGATGCGCATGGCATGATGCCTTCAACAAATAATAATTGGAGATGTGCACATGGCATGGTCCAAGGGGATGATACTGGTGCGACAAATAATAATGGGGCTGACCATTATATGTGTGAATCCAATGCTCATGCACATGGGAGTAGTGAAAATGGAAATTCACATGGGGTCCAATATAGTGTTGCGCCAAATTCAAATAATAATGGGAGTAGTGAAAATGAAAGCTCACGTGGAATCCAAGGAGAAAGTTGTAAAGGTATGGCAAGTGGTGGTGGCTCACCTGTTGAATTAAGTAATGATATGCGTGGTGCACATGGGTTCCAAGGAGATTGTCGTGGTGCGCATGGGGTCCAAGGAAGCTATGAAAGTGTGGCAAATTTGAACAATAATAGTAGTGCGGCCATTTTAAATAATAATGATAGTGATGCCAGCTCACATGGAGTCCAAAAAGAGATGGGTACAGCAGAAACGTGCGTTGAAGTTCAACCCGGAGTGGGGATTGATGTTCCACAACCAGTCTCCAATGTGCATCCCATGATGACCAGGAGTAAGCATGGAATCTGGAAGCCAAAAGTTTATAATGTTGCAAGTTCAGATCGAGAGCCAACTAATATCACAGAGGCATTGATGAGTCCTCTTTGGAAAGAAGCAGCACAAGCAGAGTATGATGCACTGGTGAGGAATGGAACGTGGACTCTAGTTCCTCTTCCTAGGGATAGGAAGGTAATAAGTTGTAAATGGATTTTTCGAATAAAGCGAAATGCTGATGGCTCGGTTTCAAGGTACAAAACACGCTTGGTGGCGAAAGGTTTTCTCCAAAAACCAGGAATTGACTTTGATGAAGTCTTCAGCCCAGCGGTTAAGCCTGCAACGATCAGGGTGATCATTTCCTTGGCTTTATCACGAGGGTGGAAGCTGAGACAGATTGATGTCAACAATGCCTTCTTGAACGGGCTGCTCACTGAAGAAGTGTACATGAATCAACCACCTGGGTATGAGCAAGAAAATGGTGAGCTGGTATGTAAGCTACACAAGGCGATTTATGGGCTGAAACAAGCACCGAGGGCCTGGTTTGAGCGACTGAAGGCATACCTAGAATCTGAAGGTTTTTGCCTTGCTAAGTCGGATGCCTCTCTTTATGTTCGAAAGACCTCGGATAGTTTGGTGTACTTACTGGTGTACGTTGATGATATCATCGTAAAAGGGGATAAAGAGATGGTTGTTCAAAATGTTATAGACATACTAAATGCTCAGTTTTCGTTGAAGGATCTTGGACCATTGAGTTTTTTCCTAGGAGTGGAAGTCAGTTATGAAGGTTGTGATGTTGTTTTGAGTCAACAAAAGTATATTCAAGACCTTCTACAGAAACATGGCTTTGGTGAAGTGAAAAGTCTTCCCACCCCTATGGTCTCTAACATCTGTCAGCCAAGGAAGGAACACCACTTGCAGATGATGCACGATACAGAAGCATCGTAGGTGCCCTGCAGTACATTGTGATCACTCGACCTGATGTGGCGTTTACTGTGAATAGAGTGTGTCAATTCATGCAAGCCCCACTGGATGTTCATTTTCTGGCAGTGAAGCGGATACTTCGTTACCTACAAGGCACTGTTGATTTTGGGTTACGGTTTACACCCTCCTCGAGAATGGCTCTGGCTGGTTTTGCAGATGCAAATTGGGGTTCAGATATTGATGATAGACGGTCAACCTCAGGGTTCTGTATATATTTTTGTGGGAACCTGGTCTCGTGGAGCTCTAAGAAGCAACAGGTTGTTGCACGTTCAACTGCTGAGGCTGAGTACAGAAGTGTGGCTTGCGCAGCTGCTGAGATGGTGTGGCTTCGATCACTGTTGGGAGAGCTGCACATAGTCACTCATGGCAAGGCCACGTTGTGGTGTGATAATACAAGTGCAGTTGCAGTGTGTGCTAATCCCGTACTGCATTCCAAGTTCAAAAATGTTGAGTTAGATCTGTTTTTTGTCCGAGAAATGGTGGCTATGGGACAACTACAAGTCCATGAAGTGCCTGCAGCTGAGCAGGTTGCTGATGTGCTGACCAAGCCTTTATCAGCGTCTTTGTTTTTCAAACACAGACAACGGTTGCTGGTGGCACAACTTAAAAACATATCAGATTGAGCTTTGAAGGAGGTTTGAAGTTGAAGGTTGCAAAGGGAATGTTAGTGTAAATGAACACATGAACATTATTTCAATTTGAGCTTTGAAGGAGGTTTGAAGTTGAAGGTTGCAAGGGGAATGTTAGTGTAAATGAATGAAGTTGTGCATGGGACATGAGCACACGTACTACTGTTGTGCATGATGGTTGTGCATTGCAGCTAATCAAGTTGAAGCAGTTAGTTTGTTGAAGTTTGTTGTTGAAGATTAGTTACATCATTAGCTATGACTGTATTGCTCAATATAAATATATTCCTTAAGATTTGTAAAATTCATCCCCTTGAATATAATAAAGATTCAGAATATTTCTTTTCCCCTTTTCTGTTTCTCATTCTCTTTCTCATAGTTAAGATATTATTCTTTATTCTTTACATTATCCAACTTGTTTTTGGTACCATAAAATATTAAGAATAAGTATCTTATTTTACAACCGAATCACAGTCGCACTTTAATCTTCACAAAAGTAACTGAACCGATAAGAAAAGATACCGTCATTTTCATGTCTATGCATTGCTGGTCACATCACATGCATGGCATAACTTGACATTTTCTTACATATGAAGCATTAAGATTTATGGGGAAAATCCATAAATAGTTTCTAAATGAAAATAAAGCTCCCATCTCAAACTTTCTTCTTCTTCTAATTCATTGATGAAACATAAGGAAAAAAAAAGCTGCACTTCTGCCAACTTAGCCTTGTGGAGGAGGGTTGAATATGTAACCAGTTTTGGGATTAACATTAGGCCCTGGATCTTTATAATCCATTATTTCAATCATTCCCCTTGACGTTTCTGCAATTTCCTGCTATCCAAACATTAAAAAAAAAACACCGGGTTTAGACCCTAAACCCAAAGAAATCCAAGAGAGAGAGAGAGAGAAGAGAAACCTCCAATTGAGCGGTGGATTCTTCAAACACAACAGCCTCCATCAATTTCCTGCTACAAAACCCTAAGAAAACAACAAACAAAAAGGTTGTACAAAATCAAACAAAAAGAAATGCATGAGAGAAGATACAACGTAATACCTTGACTTTGACTTTTGGAGAAGGAGAGAAGCAAAAGCATGAAGAAGAAGTAATTTGAGAAAGCAAGATCGATCCATTGTTTGTTGAACGATTCTGTGAAATGGGAGTTCTGGGCTTTTGGAAAATGAGGAGAGTTGAGGTTTTTGTCGACAGTTTCTTGAGCCTTTTAAGTTTCTGCAGATTCAATGGGAGGAATTCGACAGCATATTTTTATATATAAAAAGAGTGCGAGAAGACAGACTTGGTACATATTTTTTTAGAAAAGAAATAACCATTGGCAATCCACTTGGATTGTGCAAGAATCTTTGGCAATCCAGGTGAGCATGTACTTTGCACACGGCAACCACTGACCAGAACTTACATATACTACTAGTTATGGGCTTTTCTTATTCTATTCTTAAAACAAATCTTTGTTTAAAAGGCAAAAGGATAAACATTTGCACTTTCATTGTTGGCAGATCAGCTCGAATATATGTATTGATTATTATTTCATATATTGATCATAAACTTTATTTTTCATCGTGATCTTAATTCATCATCCTGTATATTGTTTATTTATTTAGAATATTCATTAAGTACATATGATGATGGATTAAAATCGTTTGTAAAAAAAAAATCAACCGTTATATCAAATGGATGTCCCTGTTCCCATATGTAATGGGGTAAGGGAGGTAAGATAGTAGGTTGTCCTCAACAGTAGGTTGAGAGAAGCTTCCGTTAATATATCAAATTCTATAATAAAATGTATTTTTTTATTAGTCTAGAGTTATAGTATATGTTTAAAAATAATTCTCAATTATTGATATTGAACGCTTATACTTTTGGTATTCCTGCGAGCTCAAGAAACAACAACAATTCTTTTATCACTAACGTTGTTTGATTCGTGTTAAAATTAATATCTTTTGAATACGATATAAAACTTATTTATAACATTAACTTCTTTTACATATATGTAACACATTAGATTTTTTTTTACAACAATTCACATAAACTAGGCCAATAATATGTGCAGTTTCATAAAGCTGCTTGAACAGTACTCATAATATAGATTTTGATTCTGATTAAGATGATGAACTGGCTAAGTACCAAAATATAATAGGGACTAAATGTTTGATACTAGAAATGGAATATCCCAACAAATTTGGAATGCTAGAGCATTAGAAAAATCATTAAGATGTTTATTCTTTTTATTAGTAATTATAGATAGAATGACTTTTTTTTATCCTTTAACTTCACTGATTTTATCATTTTAGTTCTTAATTTTTTTAAATAAATTATTCAAATAATCATTAAATTAGTTTAAAATAAAAATATATATAATTTAAAGACATGTGATAAAATTATTATTATTTATTTATTTTTTGGAACCGTGCTATTGTTTAATGTATTCTCACTTTCTCGCCTCTGTCGGGAAACCGGCGCCGTCATGGTTCACGTCAGTTTCTACCGAAACTGTAAGCTATTGTCCCTTTCCCCGCTCCAATCATTTTTTTACTTGATCTGTAGTTTCAACTGAGTTACATTATTTTTTTTCCATTTTTTTGATATTATCTTTGGGTTATCGGAAATGATGTTTGTATTTAGTCGGTATAATGAGGTAATTCTATGTTTTAATTTATAATCTGCGTTTATTTTGTTTAAGATAGTTTAGGATGTCAGTAGCAGCTATCTTTTTGCCTTGGATTTTGTTTCATTCTTAGTTCTTATTAGCCGCTTTGATCTATTTGTTTGTCTGTTGAATTATTCAATTCAATTACTCTTTTGGTAATATTATAGTATAATAGACTTCATGTAGTTTGAAAATTTTCCTGTTTGAGGTTTAAAGTTTGAATTTGGCTATGACGGGGTTTTGATTTATATGTGGCAGAATATTGTTTATGATTTTGTAAATAACAATATAATCTTGTTTCTTGATTTAAATGAAAGAGAGAGAGACATTATGATTATTTGTGCTCATTTGAGGTTATTCGACCCCGACTTCCTAATAGTGGACTCACATTAATTTATTATCAATGAAATCGATGTATGATTGTAGATGGGAAGACCTTTAAGAAGCCAAGGCGTCCCTATGAAAAGGAGCGATTGGATGCAGAGTTGAGGCTTGTAGGAGAGTATGGACTCCGATGTAAGAGGGAGTTGTGGAGGGTTCAGTATGCATTGAGCCGTATTCGGAATGCTGCCAGGGATCTTCTCACTCTTGATGCGAGAATCCCGTCGTATTTTTGAAGGTGAAGCACTTCTTCGTAGAATGAACAGGTATGGACTTTTGGATGAGAGCCAAAACAAACTTGATTAGTCTGGCTTTGACTGTGGAGAACTTCCTTGAGCGTCGCTTACAACACTAGTGTTTAAGTCTGGGATGGCCAATCGATTCACCATGCTCGTGTTTTGATTAGGCAAAGACATATCAGGTAAAGAGTACTTTTTTCTTGCTATTAACTAGGCAGGAGCTTGTTTTTGCAGTGTTTATATTATGATTAGATTGTTTCTGGAAACTGCACCAGTCATCTTTTTTCTGCATATGATATATCTGTTATTTGAACTAGCTGCCATTTTTGTCCAGTCTCGCTTTCCCATGTTTGCCGACCATCTTTTGATAAAGTGTTATTAAATCATAACAGTTTGTTGGAATGATGTATGATTGGAATTTTTCATATTATGTTCTTGATTGGACAGTTTCACGTGTAGCCTACTTGAGTGTATTTGTTGATACATCCTTTTGTTGTTTGAAACTCTGAAAGGTAATTTATGGTTTCTCTAATTGTTGTAGGAATTGCTTATATTAGCCATGACATGGAGAAAGGATGAGAACACCAAAACTTTATAAAAGTACATGAAAGTCTTAAATTTCTTTGATAGAATTATTAATATATTTAAATTTGTATATATAGCCCACTTCCTACAATCCCATTGAGTTCTTGTTTGAGCAGTTTTGTATTTTTAGCCTACTTGAATATATTTGTGGACACATGCTTCTGTTGTTCGAAAGATAATTTGTGTATGCTCTAAATGTTGTATGTATGTTGAACATGAGATAATTACATAACCTTGAGAAACACGGACATTAAAAAAATACGACATTATACTGGGAGACAAATGTATTTAAAATATGAACATGATATCTCTCTATACATGAATTGCTGGGTTTATCTTGATGTTTGTTTTATATCCTTGATAGGGTTGGTAGGCAGGTGGTGAACATCCCATCTTTCATGGTAAGGGTTGACTCTCAAAAACATATTGACTTCTCTCTCACAAGTCCATTCGGAGGCGGCCGTCCTGGCCGAGTGAAGAGAAAGAACCAGAGAGCAGCTGCCAAGAAGGCTGCCGGGGGAGATGGCGATGATGACGAGGATGATGAGTAAACCTTAAGGCCATTACCCCCACAACTAGGAACCCCTGAAAAGCCTCCGTTTGGAACTTGCCATTACTAGACATGGTTTGAGTTTTGTTCCCGTATCTTTACTGCAGAGGATTCTGGTATATGTTTTCTGTTTTGTTTTTGCCCTGGTTTGAAGTTATTTGGGTAATCATGTTTAAAGATTAAAATATTTTAATTTTGGTCATTCTAGTGCACAATGTCATCTATTTTACCCAAAATTAAATTAAGGACCAACCCTTCTTTTTATTGTTAGTGGTATATTTTGTTTTATGTTCAGATAATTGGAACCATTTAGTCTATTAATAATAGAAATGTGACTTGATCAAGCTCTTTGTTCAATATTTATTTCTTATGTGATAAAATCCTTTTTGTTGGATGATTGGGTGACTACTTGGTAGATGGTTGAGATTAATAGTAAAAAAATGTTGAAATTAACCGTATGAAATCAGAAAATTAAATAAGTAAATTAAAATCTGATAAGAAGTCTGGTTGACAACGTTGAATAAAATAAATAAATAAATATTATAAATAATGTAAAGATACTCTAATTAAAATATAGGGTGTGGAATTTGTAAATCTAAATTTTTGCTCTCATATATTAGTTTTATATATTTTTTGAAATAAAATCATTGAACTTTTTTAAGAAAAAATTCAAATAGAAGAATCCGTTTAATGTTTTCTGACAAATAATTTAATAAAAACAATTTAATTAACATTTAGAATTAAAATTATTTTAATTATCATAAGTTATTTAATAGTCTTGATTGAATTTGATGTCACAAATTAATAAAATATTTTTGTTTTTACGTACTTATATATGCAAATCGAATAAAACAACTAAAATTGAGGGTTATAGATGGATTAATGCAGGGACAGGGGCAAATGGAAGGTGTAGGGCTAGGGTGATTAATATGTTGAGCAATTTGTGAATAGTTTGAATTCGATTTGATCAAAAGTTTGGAAAAAAATCGATTTAGGTTGACTCGACTCGAACTCAAGCTCGATTTGAGACCTTAACGCGTTGAGTCGAGTAAAGTTCAACTCGACTCGATAAGTTCCAAGTAGTTCATTAATTTTTTTATATAATTTTTTAGTGATCATCTTAAAAAAAATATTTTATTAAATTACTAAACTATTGATTTTTTTAATAAATAATAAAAAATATTAAATTATTAATTAATATTTTATTACACTCAAAATTTAAACAATATTTATTATTTTAACGTATTTATGGATTATTACTTTAGTGCTTAGATTTTGAAATTGTTTTGTACATTCTTTTGATAATTTTTGGGTTAAGTTTATTAATTTAAGTTTATAGTAAGCTTTATATAGTATGAATAGATTTTACTTATAGTTTAAAAAAAGGTAAATTTCGGTAAGCTTAATGAGCAACGAGTATCGAACTTAATGAGCAACAAGCCTTTTTAACAAGCACGAGTCGAGCAAAACTTTAACGAGTTTAACAAGTAATGAATTGAATCAAGCAACAATTTTTTTAATGAGCACGAGTTGAAAATTACCCAACTCGTGATCGATTCACTTGATAAGCTCCTCTAGTAGGGGATCTACCGTCCCCAAAATCTTTTAGATAATTTAATTTTTAATTTTAAGTCCTAATAGTTTAAATTAATCAAATTAAACTTTAATTTTTAATTTTTTTTCGTTTAACTATTTCTTAAATCCTTTTTACAGCTCAATATTCAATCTTAATTTGATCACTGGACTAATGAGTTTGTATTCAAATTAATTTCCTCTCCATCTATAATTGTAATCAGTAAAATTGATTTTTGTGAATATATATTTAGAAGAATAAAAACTGTCCAAACCAGACCAGTTGGGACATGAACTTGAACCAGTAAAATTGATGTATAGGCAGAGGGAATGTGATCTGTTGGTTAGGAGTTTTGAAAATGATGTTGAAGTGGCAAAGGGACAAAAGCATCTTATGAAACCCCTCTTTATAGGATCATCTACGATTGGAGAATTTGTTGTTTAAAATTTGAAACTGAAACAAAAGAGAATTTTTTTTGGATAATCAATTTTGTATTCATCCAAAGAAAGCAGCAAGCTACTACAAGAAACGTACAAACAACTAGACAAGCCCCCAATCAGTACACAATTGCCTATTTACAGTATCCAGCGTATTTATACTATACCTATACAATTTGATTCTAATAGCCCCTTTAATAGTATTTACAATAGTATCAATCGAAAGCGACAATCCTCTAAAAATTCTGTGATTGCGCTCTTCCCAAATGAAGTAAACATATCCTGTCCATGCTAATTTAAGAACACGAACTAACAGAGACTTGCCTTTTAAATTCCTATTCAACCAACACAGCAAATCATCCCAACTCAAACTTTGCTGCTACAACCCACAAGATTGCAGTATAGCATCCCAGACCTCCCTCGAGTATGAGCATTCCGAGAAGAGGTGATTTCTCGATTCCAGCTTAGCACCACAGAATCCACATCTAGCATCAGTCACCATAGCAAATTGAACAAGTCTTTCCTTAGTAGGCAGCCTGTCAAGAATAACCATCCACGTAATCAAAAAGAACTTAGGGATGTGTGCAGGGAACCAAATGAGTCGATGCCATTCAACTTTTTCATTCCTATCCCGAATATTGTCCCATATCCAGCCTCCCCTAGCTTGTGACCAATTAACAGAAGCAGTAAACAGACTCTTAGCCTCCTCACGCATATTAATCAATTTCCTAAGAGTCCAGCTGAAGTGAGGCTTGCTTTCAACACTCCAATAGTCTTCAAGCTTAAAACTGTAAGCCTTGATCCAGACAATCCACAGAGAGCCTTCACCAGCCAAGATGTTTTTAACAAGCATAAGGCAGTATGTTTTGTTCCAACTGAATCTAGCACCTAGAGCAGATGAATCATTGCCCTTCCAAAAGAACCTCATACACAATCTTTCAATATCCTGGATGACTCCCTTAGGCAAAATAAGATGCCTGCTCTAGTAATTGAAAATACTAAACAAAACAGCTTTAACAAGCTGCAACCTCCCCCCAAAACTCAGTTTCCTACTGGACCATTGCCTCAGCTTGTCTTTGATCCTCTCCAACAAAGCTTTACAATCTGTCCCAGAGAGTTTTCGAGTCACTAAGGGTACCCCAAATACCTTACAAGGAGTTGACCAAATATAAAACCTGTTGCTCTCCAAATCTACTCTAATTCACCCCCAGAAATTCCAAAGGTATAAATCTCAGTCTTCAAAGCATTCAGCTTAAGCCCAGACAATTCATAAAATTTATCTAAAATGCTAAGCACACCCATTACTGAATCCAAAGATCCATGACAAAACTATAGCAAGTCATCAAAAAAGCAGATATGTGTAAGAAAGATCCTTTTACATCTTGGATGGAATCTGAATATTCTACTCCTGGCAACAACATCAAGTAAGTTTGAGAGCACATTCATGAAAATTACAAATAGGTAAGGGGATAATGGGCCCCCTTGACTAACACCTCTAGCACCTCTAAAGTAACCTACTAGGCTGCCATTCAAAGCTATTGAATACCTAGAAGTTGTTACACAAGCTTTTATCCAGCCACAGAATCTATCAGGAAGCCCCATAGCTCCAAGAACATTCAACAAAAATTCCCAGCTAATTGAATCTAATGCTTTCTGCAGGTCAACTTTTATTGCACACCTAGGGGAGAGGTTCTTCCTTGAATACCCTCTAACTATCTCTTGTGCTAACAATGTATTATCAGCAATACTTCTGCCCTTAACAAAAGCAGACTGGCTAGCAGAAATCATTCCAGGAAAAAACTGATCTAGCATAGTGACCAAGATTCTAGTGATTGTTTTGTAAACAACTGAACAACAAGAGATAGGCCTACATTCCTTGGCCATACATACATTCAAGGACTTTGGTACTAAGACTATAGTAGTGGCATTAAAGTCTGGTAAAAGATAAGTGGTCTGGAAAAAATACCTCATTGCATTTAGGAAATCTTTATTCACAATTTCCAAGCCACCTTGAAAAACCATGAGGTATACCCATCAGGACCTGGGCTTTTATCTTTCCCTTGCATGAACAAGGCTTCATTGATTTCCTTGTCTGAAATGTCACCATCTAGGACTCTCTCAGCACCAGCAGGTAAGGATTGGTTTAGAAGGTCTTTTAACCATTCAGGATGGCATCCCTTAACCAAAGGGTCAACAACACCTATTAGTTTGCTGTAAAAATCCACCAGCTCTGTAGCCATACCATCAAATGTCTCAAGAAATTGCCCATTTTCATTCTTGAGGACTCTAATAGTGTTATTCTTCTTTTGAGACTCAACTTTCTAGTGAAAAGAACCTTGTGTTTAAATCTCCTTACTGCAACCAGTGTACCTTTGCTCTCTGCCTGTAAAAATCTAATTCTGCCATTTCAAGATCAACTAAATCAGTCTGTGCCTTCTCCCCCTCCTCCTCCATCCTAGTTTGATTAGCAACATAAAGGTTTGAGAGCTGAATATGTTCCAGTTCAGCTCTCTTAGCAGCTACCCTAGCAGAGATATCAGAAAAACAAGTCATATTCAGCTCCTTCAAAATTGCTTCGATCTTTTCAATTTGTTAAACAACACCTGCATAGCATTACCATCACTATGTTCCAACCAGAAGTCTTTAACACTGCTTAAAAAATTATCATTTGCAATCCAGCAGTTGAAAAACTTAAATGGTTTTGGCTTATGAATATGAGCCTCATTCTGAGTCCAAAATATCCCAGGACAGTGATCTGACACTCCAGGGGCCTTGTACTCAGAAAAAGAATATGGAAATTCCAGTAGCCACTGAGGATTAATTAGAATCCTATCCAGTTTCATAGCTAAATAAGATATTTCTTACTTGTTAGACCAAGTGAATAGAAATCCTACAAATGGGTGATCTTGTAACTTCAAGTCCTCCATACAACCTTGGAGTTCTTCCATGTCAGAAGAATAATGTGATCCCAATGAAATATAGTCAGAACTCTCATGGACCTCAGCTATTACATTGAAATCACCTCCAATTACCCAAGGATTAGAGCCTGCCTCACTATCCAGATTTCTTAGGTATTCTCACAGACCCTGCCTTAATTGACTGTTGTTACTGCCATAAACTGCAGTAATCAATACTCTTTGGCCAGCAATATCACCTACAATGGAAAGGGTTTGGTCACACCCCCCAGTCATAGAAAATGATAATCTCTTCTTCCACAGGATCCAAATTCTTCCACCATCAGTGAAATCATAATTTGCCTTATGATTCCATTCATCTGATATAGCATCAACCCATTTAGGAACATTAATTCTCCTAATTCTAGTCTCCATGAAACAGACCACATCCACCCCTAAGTTCTCTAATCTTTTGAATACTTTTCCTTGCTTGAGGGAGTTGTTAATACCCCTCACATTCCAGAAACAAATAATCATTAAGCATGGAAAGGAGGGCCTCCACTAGCAGCCCTAGCACTTATGTTATTACCTTTAACCTTGTCAACCATATCATTCTTCTTCATAACCTCCACTACCTGCCAACATTTCCATTTTACTAGAAGATCCAACATTTTCCTTTTCCTCCCCTTAACTTTCTTCTTAAGCACCATGGAGTCCTGTAGGGAAGGAAACTCACTACCAGCAGGAGGAACATCTTAGATACCACTAGGAGCTGCCATACCCTTCTCCAGTTGCTCAACTACTTCATCACTTACATTTTGTTTCACCCTTATCAGCTTGATCCATCTTAGCTTGGCTTGCATCAGTCATGAGTGTATCATCACTATTCTCTTAGAGGGACTTTACAGTCATCTCCTCAGCATCACCAACCTGCAGCTCAGTATTCCTTGTACACTCAATACTAACATTAGATTTAACTGCATTAGAACAGATACATAAGCTAGTAAGGTTTTCTCTCTCCTTATCAGCCAGCCTCTCCCTTCCATTAAGCTCAGTAGGATTAGAGTTAACTTTCTTTCTTCATATTTGAGTTTCCTTGCTCTTCAAAGGAACAATGGCTGCCTCAACACACAAATTTGAGTGGTGCCCAAATGTTTTACAATGCGAGCAAAATTTAGGCAACCAGGGTACATGAACCCTAATCCTCACTACAAATCCATCACTCAGCACCACATTGACCATCTCAGGAATTTCAGCACCTACCCCGATCTCCACATAGACCTTGGCATACTCAAACCTCTCCTTGGATGCTGTAATGGCATCCATAGATAGAGGACGCCCCACAACACTTGCAATGTAACTTAGGCTCATCCTAGTGTAGAGCTATAGGGGTACATTATACAATTGAACCCAGACCGGTATGTTCTTTAGATCAAAATCAAGTTTCTGTAAGCTTGGCTCCCATTTCCTCAGCACAAGCGGTTTGTTTTGCACATGCCAAGGCCCATTCTGGAGAATCTAGTCTCTCATATCCTTGTTCGAGAAAGAAAATGCATAAATGTTTTAACCGGCTAGACTTACCTTGACAGTCGAAGCTTTCCCCTAAAGGACTTCAGTGATTCTCTGCATTGAGCTAAAGTTTGGAGCCACTCCTATGAATTGCCTCACCACCTCATGGCTCCATTCAGAAATCCCCTCATCAATCACAGCAGATGGAGGTTTGACAATAGAAATCACATCCGAGACCTCAGGTGGAAAGTAATTTAGGGATTACTCATCTTCTCCACAAACAACTTCCTCCAATATAAATTCGAAGCCGTTGAATCCATAGACACCACCAAACTGATCGCAAGTACTCAGAATCACTAAAGAAAGAGAAAGATTCAGCAACGAAGAAGCAACCCTGAAGACCCATTAGTCATGCTAACGTGCACCCAGAGAGGATTCATCGCCAACTACTCCTCGTGTGTGCCTCGGCTCAAGCATGAAAGAAGAGAATTTTGATTCTACAATTGCAATACAAAATTAGGTGTAAAACCAGAACAATATCCTTTTAGCTATCTCCATAATTTGAAATGATAAAAAAGCTGAATAATAATTTAAAGGTCTTTTTGTTTTTTCATCTTTATGCGGACGGACCTTGTGCAACAAGCTCAATGGATTCGAGCAACCATTCTAGCTATAGGAGCCAACCACACTTTGGTTTTGATTGGATCGCCAAAGCTTAGAATATATAGATGCAAGGAATGATGATAGACAGTCCACGATCTGGAGCATGTAGCATGATAGTGATCGAGTTAGTTTCTATTTCGATACAAAGAGACATCGAAAAAGCTTTGGAAACTGACATAGCTGTGCAACAGGATGCTGTCGAAACAATGTCTCATGTTATAATTCTAGAACTGAATTCGCCCCAAGGTCTGTCTCGTATAGAAAAATATGAAGTTGAGAACCCAAAATAGGAAAAGGTGGGAAACCAAAAAATAAAACACATTTGTTGCATCCCTATTTCACCATTTAAAAACCAAAACAGACTCACCCTTTGAAATGTAATAGGGGCTTCTCCAAGTATTCAACATTATCTGAGATCCAATAATAACGATATCATTAACAGAGAAACAAGGAGGGAAAAGGGTAATTGGAAATGTCGTACTCATCGTCATCCGGTTCGGAGGACGAGGACGAGGGGTTCGATTCATACAGGAAAGGGGATATCATGCGGTACAAATAGGAGATCCTTTCGCCGCCTCTCGTTACATCGCTCAACGGAAGCTGGGATGAGATCATTTCTCCACCGTATGGCTTGCTTAGGATACTCAATCCTCAGTAAGTCTTTTTCCCCTATGTATGTATATATGTATGTATGTATGTATGTATGTATACATGTATACATGCATGTATGTATGTATGTATGTATGTATGTATGTATGTATGTATGTATGTATGTATGTATGTATGTATGTATGTATGTATGTATGTATGTATATATGTATGTATGTATATATGTATGTATGTATGTATGTATATATATATATATGTATATATGTATGTATGTACAACAATGATATCTAAATCCTTTCTGTTTCAATCAGAAATATGTTGCTCTAAAGATTCAGAAAAGTGCAGAACATTTTGCTCAAGCTTCCCTTCATGAGATTGAAGTGCTTTTTTCAATTACCAATGGTGACTCTGCAGATTCCAAGTGTCAGGTGCACCTGATCAATAACTTTAAGCACAGTGGCCCCAATGGCCAACATCTCGAATTCATCGGTGATAACTTACTCCGTTTAATCAGTTTCCGACATTACAAAGGGATTGAATTGAATAAAGTTCGGGAGATATACAAATACGTATTGATAGTTCTGGATTACTTGCATAGGGAACTCGACATCATTCACACCTATCTCAAACACGAAAATATCCTTCTCTTATCCACCATTAATCCCGCCAAGTATCCGATCAGGTCCGCTCTAACATCGATACTCAAAAGGCCTATGGCGAGTGGTCTAAACAGAAGATCCATGTCCATGGTTGAGAATAGACTAAAAAGGAGAGCAAGAAGAGCTTCTATAGGATGAGAAGCTGAAGCTCCAAAACTGGAGAAATCTATGTATGAGATCGATTTGAGGTGCAAATGTTGTTTACTTCGGGAATGCATGTTGGGCCAACAAACTATTTGTCAATGAAATTCAGACCAGACAGTATAGCGCTCCGGAGGTGATACTAGGTTCTGGTTATTCCTTTCCAGCTGATATATGGTCTTTTGCTTGTACTGCCTTTGAGCTTGCTATTGGTGATATGATGTTTGCTCCTAAAGCTGGCAAAGGATTCAGTGAAGATGAGGTATCACTATTCTATACATGCATCATTGTCCTATATTTTGCATGCATCATGTATAAATATGACATATATGCATAT